CACACACACACACACACACAGTACATACATACATACATACATACATACATACATACATACATACATACACACATTAATCCCAGGGACAAATTTAACACATCTAGTAGCATTTGCTTATTGTGCAAGGCCAATAAAATAGTAATAAGGAGAAACAAAAGGTAAAACACAATAGATAAGAATAATGAAGAGAAAAAAAGCTATACATACATATGCACAAAATTGTAGGGAGCAGTATTTTCATGATACATACATGCATACAAATGCACACATATACTATATGTACTGTATGTCTACATTTACACATACATATAATGTATATACAGTGGTGTAGTCTACATTTTTGTAGTGGGTATACTGTGCTTAGAGTCAAAAACCTGTCCAGAGGACCTACTTAATTTTTCCTTTTGATTTTTCTACCTAGATTACTGAGATGCATCAGGACATTTAGAGACAAAAATGCAATGTAGTGCAATGTAATTGACAATTTATTTGGAGTTTTAAGCATATTTAACATTGCAATATTTCTGTGATGCTTACATTTTAATAAATGCACAAGAAACCTGAGCCCTGGAAATCTCATGCCGCCAAATCTTGTTCCGGAGTGAAGACAGTGCTGTTTCTGTTTTCATTTGAGCCGGATGACTGGATCTTGAAGGAGGCCCACTCCTCCTATGGAGACCTTCTTTTCAATTCAGGACACCAGTTGACTTAATGGTACTGCAAACAGCAAATCCTGCAGGAAGTAAATAAAAATGATCATAACTGTATAATACCAGTAATAATATTAGAATCTACTGATTCACTAGACTGTAAGCATGTGTCGACAATTACATTCATTATTACCTGCATACACTTTTGCATTATGATTAACTAAAACATGAAAATGAAATGCTCAAACACACACATACTGTACATACATACATACATACATACTGTACATACATACATACATACATACATACATACATACACACACACACACACACACACATATATTTACACACACACACACACACACACACATATATATAATTTCTCGTGTAATATACTGTACAAAACTTTGAAATATATGATTATGAGACTATTTACAAATTATCAAGTCATAACATGTTAATGTTGGAAAGATATCAATTGAACCTAACATACACACTGGTTCCCATATTTTTTGATATCTACCTAATTTTTTGTTCCTCCATTCCAACCAAGGATGTCTGTTTTTAAATTACTGAGCCTGATTCTCACTCCACAAGGCTGGCCAATTTGCATCTAAAAATGAAAGGAGTTTTAAAAACAGAGAAAAAGCATAGCATTTTGTTGATTATTAGAGTGACAGACTAAGTCACAAACAAATCATTTTTATATTCACATATTTATTTAATGGTATTCCTGTAAATAGGGCCCAATGAAATCCATTTTATCCCTTTTTTTCTATTTTATCGCTTTCTGAATTCCATGTTTTCATTCTACTATTAACCTCAAAAGTGTGTAACTATAAAGAGAGCCCCCAACCCATTGCAGCTGCGGCCTAACCACGTGAGACTCCATGTTTTGTTTTACACTGGATTCAGTTTTGTTTACTTAAATTTGCCATTCCATCTGCATTTTGCATCTTGGAAATCATAGAGCCCTATGTAAACTTGCATTCATTAAAGATACTGCCCGATGAAATGTTACTGTAGATAGCTGGAGTATGTGAAAACAGGTAGTAGTTGCTGCTTGAGATAGCTTCCACTTACCTGGGGTAATGCAGACATCAACCTCATTATGGCTGGTTTTGGCCATCAAACTGGTAGGTTCTTCTAATGCTGTCTCCGTAGCTTCAGGGTCAGCTGATTTATAAAAACATTAAAAAAGTGTAGCTTGTTTCCTTTTCATTTGGAGTCTGTTGTCGTTAGCATTGAAAACCCTCTACCTGGCTACTCTGTCTCTCTCGGTGAGTGTATTCAACTTGTTCCCACCTACGTCCCGAGCAGCCAATCATAAAGGAGCTTCTGAAAAAAAAACTATCACAGAGCAGAGAACTGTGGTAGTGAGCTCAGCTCAGCCAATGGCTGTGAGCCTCACGTAAAATAGGAGGAACATGAAGCTATGAAAGCCGCAAGAGGCACAGTGAAGAGTCCTTGGTTGTGTCCAAACTGACAGGCTGGTCCTTGGTAGAGCGGGAAGACCGGGAAAAAAAGTGTCTGTGAATTTGGATGGTCTAGCCTCCCCTCCACCCCGGCGTACGTCATGTCACCTAGCAACCATGACGACGCTAAATAGAAGCAAAAATAGATCAAAATTAGAAAAATATCAACATATTAGCGTTATTAATATCACAAAACAATAAAATTAGCTTAAAGGTAACATC